GAGCGTGAACACCAAACCAAATAATCTCCTAGTGTCGTCTTCATGCTGCGGACAGAAGCCCGATTCCTACAAAAACACACACCCAGAGACTCCTTTTATCCACTTCAGCTAATCACAAACACTGAACCGATTAGCTTGTTTAATCGCTCTGCCGGGGAGACTTTACCTTCTGTTTTCTTCTCACCTTCACTACCAAACTGCTTCTCTTTAATAATGAGAGCGCTGAGCTCAGCTCCACACGCTCGGGTCCTATTAAGACCAAAACACAACCCACTGTCCAATTATCCAAATGAGCCTGGTTCTGCTGCAGCCTAGGACACGGGTTTTATGATCCACGTTAGCTTAATTTTGAGCTACAGTGTTTTACTGTGCAGAATAATAAAAAAACAAAATAAATACATTTATTTTCCTCCACTTATCCAATATAAGGGTCTAGGAGAAAAAACCTAGACCTCCTTCTCCTTTGAACCATTTCGAACAAGCAACAGTTGGATTCAAGATTTTGTTCTTTCAGTTACGATCCAAATCTTGTGAAATGGAGGAAGGAAAGCAAATGACACGTGAGTACAAGGAGAAAAGACAAGTGTATGAAAAAACATTCAGAAAAGCGTCAGCTGGGAGGCAAAGCAGCAACCTCCTTGGTGCAATTCAGAAGTTGTAACCAGGGTCCGAAATAACATTTTTGACTCACCGGCCAAGTTGGCTGGTAGATGATGAAAATCTACCGGCCAAGCATAAGATTTTAGATCTACCTAAAGCATGTTATTCTATATTATGTTGATTCCAAACAGAGAGGAGTGACAAAAAAATTAAAACATCAATTAATAAGAAAAAACAACTCTTTTGTCATTTTACTATTTATTTATTTTTTAGAGATGTTTTTATGGACTCTTTAATTGAAATCTAGTCAGACTCCGTGTTTTCTCTGACATAGCCATTAGCGCCGAGACCGTGGGTGTCACCAGTAGAGACTCCGATTGAGCCCGGGACATGGATGTGCCGGTGTTGTGCCATAAATCGACTCGCTGCCAAAAAATGATTAGCCACTGAAGAAAGGAAGGGGAAAAAATCAAATCGCTGGAGAATTGTTTATTTACATTTATACAACGTTTACATTCAATACAGGGCGCCATTTTACATTGTTTATTTATTTTTTAGTATCAAGGCGTTAACATAAAGAAAGCCAGTTCTTACCACAAACCATCTTTCAATCGCAAATATTGCAAAAAGGATTAATATATCCTCATTGTGAACGTTTAAGACAAATAGCAACACTTAAAACAACTTCCGAACTGGAAAAAACTAAGCTAATCATTTTTTGGCAGTGAGTCGATTTATGGCACAACACTGGCACGGCATTTGCTGTTTTCATGTTCTCGAATAGTCTCAAGCTTCATCGTCTTATTTCCTATGACAAACGAGTTGATACAGTTCTTCTCTCGAGCGTGCTGGCGGCAAACGGTGCAGCTCATTTGCGCAGATTCTGGTTCATAATGTAGCCGTTGTCTCACGACTCCGCCATCTCCGGTTCGCCACTTTTCACAAAATCTTCTGGTTGCCACTGGTCCTGGTGGTTTTTTTTCCAGTTCGACGAGTTTTCTTTTGGAAGGCTGGCTGACTCCGGTCAAAAACCGCCACATTTCACCGCTAGTTTTAACACGAAGCTAACTGCTAGCTTGATAAACTGATTGAATGGGATAGGCGGAAATGACGTTGGATGCGGCGCTCACGTTTCGCGTACATTTGTGTACGTTGCATGCAGGCGGGAGGAGTATCACAGAAATCCATGGAAGATGACTGATAAACATAACTAATTTGGTGCAAACATTTACTTGCTATGTGGCAGATAAAGCTCAAAAGTTTACTCGCCAAATGGAGCAATTTGCTCGCATTTGGCGAGTGGCGAGTGTTAATTTCGGACCCTGGTTGTAACCATCAGCACCAATAAGCCGAAAACCCCAAACAGAAATGGAAATGATCCATTTGATTCTTGCTCTGCTAAAAAAAAGGGTTAAAATAACTAAATTAAAAGGCAACTGAAAAATCCAAAGCTCTAGTATTTTTACACTTTTATTTTAAATAATAAAAAAGTACAAACGTGATGAGTGTGTTGCTGAAATCACTCAAATGGATAGTACAATTTAAAATATTAACATTTTACATAAAAAACATGTACAAAAATATTAATCATAGCAATAAAAATACATGAAAATAGAAACTTTATCCAGTTTTCAGACATAAATCTGACTGCAGAGACCAGTTTGTTAACATCTCTATTCAGCAGCTAAAATATTACTACACTTTAGGACGTAGGAGCAGTGCTGCCCTCTGATGGCTGTTCGTCACATATCAGCTGTTAACTGTTACCTGTCCAGGTTCTTTCAGACGTGTGTTTCACCACAGCTCAGATGGATCCTCATTACAATAACAACCACAAATGCAGTTTTTATAGGTTCCCAGGGCAGGAGAACCACCATCAGTTCAAATCCGTGATTGATTTCGGTGAAACTGTGACACCTTCCCATCAGTGTTCTGGAAAAAGTGACACGGTTCCGAGCAGCTGAGAAAAGCTGTGAAGCAGAGTGACAGATGGTGTCTGACCCAGATAAGAAGCTCGAATAAGGACTGAAGACGGACAGAGCTCAGGAGAAATGGGCTGAAAAAGCAACGATAGCTGAACCGAAGACACACATGAAGGTGGAAACAGACGAGAAAAAGTCTGGAGTTTAAAGCTGCACGTGTGCAAGCTGAGTTAAGCTGCAAAAGGTCTCTGGGGCCTCTAGTCATTCCACAACAACAACTACGATCATCAGATCTGGGTTGGTTTGGTCAGCAAAGCAAAGACTGTTAAGGCTAAATAAATCCCACATGTGAACTATTAATGAATCAGAACATTTTGTTTCAGTGATATTAACAAAAGCAATTATTTTTATTTTGGTATGTAATTATTATGTATTTATACAATGATGTAACATTAATGAACAAATAACACAGTTCTTTGCCGTCTGTAGATCCTCCACAAGAGGGCAGTAGACACAAATAGGACTGGATGCAGCACGTTTAAGATGAAGGCACCAATCATGATGCTAACCCTTTACATGGCAAGTCAACTGCTATTATTATTATTATTATTATTATTATTATTATTATTATTATTATTATTATTATTATTATTTTGAAGCAGTCACTTAACTGCACTGAAAAAAATAAAAGAAAACATGTAGATGTTGGAATAAACTGAAAGTTAACCATTGCAATGATTTAAATTACATGTTATTTAATAAGCCATGAGGCATAGGATTCCATAGAAAATATGAAATCCACCTTACGGATCTGTGAGTTATTTAAACCGGAAGATTGGATCTTTTTAATGCAGGGATTAGAAAACCGCTTCGTATTCACTCAGAGACAACAGAAAAAGAGAGTCAAGTTTAAAAGTTGAGAATTTTATTACTAACAAATTAAATTAGACTGACTTTAAACACTTCATGTATGATGTAACTAAAGTGGATGAGACCATGGATGTAATTTTGGGGGGTGGGGGGTGGGGTGGGGGGGGGTCAGGGGGGACATCCCCCCCCCCCACTTTTTCCAAAGTCAAATTTTGACCCCTGCACTTTTTACCATCCAAAAACAATATTACGCTATATCCAATTGACACTGGTTGAGCTCTAGGACCAAGCAGAAAACCACTGTTTGTGTTGAAGCCTGTTTCCCATTAGAGCATTCTGTAAAGATACCCCCCCCCCCCCCCCCCCCCCGTGTCCCCCCCACTTCTAAAGTGAAAATTACTTCCATGGATGAGATGGTGAATGGATGACGTGTGGTGTTGCTCAGAACCAGCAAATCCGAAGAAGCGATTAGTTCTGATGGGAACTGAAGGTGATGTCTTCGCGTTAATCTTTGATTATGAGATTCATAAACACATTTGGCGCCATTTCCCGGTTTACCTACCCTTCAGGAAGCCCCCTTTAGATCAGGAATATTGAGGTCTAGCTTGACCTTCTCTGGAACCGAGCCGATAGGAAAAGCAGCGATTGCCGACCAGTCCAGTCTAGGAGTTACTTCCGGGTCACGACAGTTTGTTGGCGTCTGGTGAGACCCGAGCCTGGGTCTTGATGGTTCAGCTTTTATTCTGAAAGGAACTGTTGCAGCAGTTGGAACAGCAACAAATTTTATCCAGCTTGTCGTTGTTCTTTCGGTTAAAGAGGAAAGTTACGGATTGGCCACTCCGAAGCTTTCTCTGGAATGCTTTGAATCTCTGGAATGCTTTGAACTGGCGTTAGAGATGACGTGGGCATAGTTTTGTACTAGACGGTCGAATGAAAAGTTGACAGGTTTTACCAAACACCATCAAAACCACGCCTCCATCAGATCTGTCAGATTCTGATTGGATCAGTGAAAGTAATGTGTCATGTCTTATTTACGCTACGTGAAATGAGTCCTGTTGGCACATTTAAAGTCATAGTACCTTTATATTCTATAGGATTATAATAAAGTAATTAATATTTTGATTTCACAGATCGGTCACATCTTATTTGTTGACTAACACTTGGTTGGATTAGCTTTATTAAAATAGAGTTCTTTGATTAATTAAAAGAAAATAGTTCATTCTTCATTCTTCTGTTGAGCTGAAAATAAGCAGGTTAGATGGAATGCATGAGACCTTGAGACCAAATCACATGCAGACTAGTTCTGTGCAGAGGAGGGGAAAACAGTCATTTCATTCCCTTACACCATTATTACATTATATTATGTTTAACTTCAAATACATATTGTTATTGTTAATATAATTAATGTACACTATTTTATAATCTTTGTGGCTCCATATAAATAAATAATGCAAAAACGTGAAGTTTTTATTACTCTTTTCATGAGAGTTACAGAGGCATAGCCAGAAAGGGTTAAAAAGAGAAGCAAAAATAGCAGAAAATAAACTTTAAACAGGAATGTTCCAGACAAACCAAAAGCCTAAATTAATGACGCGTGAGATCCAAGGAGTGATTCAGGGATAATGTTTATTGAAATCATGTTTGTATTGATCACTTTTGTGCACAAATCAAAATACAAGTGCAGGTAAAATGTAACTTTTAAATCAAAAGATGTAATAAAGTCATCGTTTTCATGAACCAGAGACTTTCTGGGGTCTTTTCATTAAATGCACCCACAGGTTGTTCTGCATGGGTTCCCACAGGCTGAAATTCACAACCTGATCCCTTTTCACCAAAGTGCTTCCGAAAATCATTTTAAGGGGAATTTAACTGTTTTGGCTTGCTTTTAGCACCCCCTAGTGTCCATTTGTAGAACTGAAACCAAAACTCCTCGCTGTGCGTTCGTCTTTTTAACTCCTTAATCTAACAGCTGAATTATTTCCCGGCCTTCCTCAGTGTCTACAGGAGTGAGTCGTCACAAAATACAAACAAATCAGCTGTTTTCATGATCTCAAACATGCTGGAAGCAGACTGCAGCACCAGGTTAGTCCCAACAGAGCGGCTTGACACTCTGAAGTTGCAAGTGGAAAATTCTGGATGGCCTTTTATTAAACCTGTAAAGGGTAATTTTAGCACACAGTGGTTCAAGAAAATGATTTAAAAACATGAAAAATTTGCAAAAATTTCCTTTAAACATTTTCCCCCTTAGGTCAGAAAAACTAAGCGAAACAAGGTTTTTATTTAAGAGCTGACAGATTTTCTTGTGATCTTTGAGTTGTTTTCTTCTGGTTTAAAACTTTTGCATGATTGTAGAAATAAAAAATGAAATCAGTTACTAGAGAAATCCTGGCCTTTAGTTACGCCGGCCCTTTTTAACTACTGTTGTTTCAATCAGAGATTAAATGAAGGAGGAATCATCTGAACAGGTGGAAACCTGAACGTGAGTTTGGTGTGTGATGAGCTGGCTTTAGTCGATTCCGCTGAACATAGGAGAGTTGCTTCTCCTTCTCTTGTAGACCACCATCACAGCAACTCCTTTAACGTCCCTCAGCCTGTCGGAGTCGAAGTCCACCAGAAGCTTCTTCACCCCGGTCTTTCTGGGTGAGAACGTGATCTTCACAGTCACCTTCTCGCCTGGAGTGATAACTCCGCTGAAAAACACAGAGTTGGATTCTTTTCCCTGTTTTCACAAACATGAACCGCAGAGCAAAATCTGACAGAATATAGTCTGGTCCACCAGACCAGCTGAGCTGTGATTTTAGTCTGGATTACTTACTCGACGCGGAGCCGGGTGTCAGACAGCAGGCCGGCTCCTTCTGCGGTGAACACACCATCCCTCAGAGGGACCGGCAGAGGATTGGTGAAGGAGATGCTGGCGGTCACTTGTTCCCAAATGTACGGTTTTTGATTCACCTGAAAAGAAGGAAGTAGTTGTTCATCTATGGTAGTATACAGGCGTGTCGAGGTACATCTAAAAACATCAAAATAACAAAAACACTTCTGTATTACATTGATTCATTACACACAGAGTGGAATACTTCACGATTATGGCTCACAGAACATGAAAACCCCAAATCCGAATATTACACAAGACGAGGTTTGGGTGAACCCACCCGTATGGAGAGCTCAGGCTTGCTCAGGTGGATGTTAGACACAGCCATGTAGGGTACGTTCTGCCCCTGAACGTCGGCCAGAACTTTCACCCTGATCAGATAGTGCTCCGAGACACACCTGGCGTAGTCCTTGTAGTACAAACGCAGCACCTGTTTGTGGACTGAACACATAGAGAACATGTGACCAAGTGTGCCGCACTGAGCAGCATCTATCGCCGCCCCACAAACTTAAAGCAAGTCCTACATTTTGATTTGCATTCAAAAGTTACATTTACTAATATTTGTTGTGTATTAGAAAACTGAAGAACTGAACTGTAGGGTCATTTCATCTAGCTAGCTCCGCTAACTGGGAGGAAATTTAAAACGTTTGTGTCGCTACAAATAAATGTGACAAATCTCTGTTGAATGTCAGAAATAAGGAAGGAGAAGGTGACTGGATGCAGAAGAGAAATGTGTGAAACTGAAGTTAAGTGCGAAGGTCAGGCAGGAGGATTTATATGGAGAGAAATCAGGCTCAAAAATCTGAGTGTGGGTAACCAGATATGTACGATTTGCATGTGCAGTAGCCAAAGTTACACACACACACACACACACACACACACACACACACACACACACACACACACACACACACACACACACACACACACACACACACACACACACACACACACACACACACACACACACACACACACACTTTTGAGTCTTACTTGTCTCCATAGACTTGTCTCCATAGATCATAGGAACTACAGACTACAATTCAAATCATGAAAATTGGACAAATGTCATATTTATTTTTGTAGATGTTTATTTGTTTAATCTGACTAATTTTTAAAAGCATTAACCAGATTAGTCAATTCCTGAACATTACGAGTAGAATAATCACTAAAATATGATCAATTTCATGATCCTTTCATCATTATTTTATAGGGAAAATTCAAATATTTTACATGAGATTATTGAGCGTGCTCATAGTTGAAGAGTTTAACTTAGTGCCGTGCACTTAGGAGCGGCTGACCTTGGTTGGCTGGAACGGTCACGTTGCTTATCTGCTTGTGGCACTCCCCCCGGTGGAGAGAGTTGTAGGTTACAGCCATGGCCCTCATGGTCAGCTTGACCTGAGCCTCGTCACCTCCTTCGTTCTTCACCTGCGAAACAGAGGTTGGAATAACTGAACAAATGCAGACCAGCTACATATGTAAATAAATGTTTTCTGTCCCCTTTTCACATTCCAGTTCTTGTTTTACCTCAATAATCACATCAAAGTCAGTTCCAAACACACACTTGGCATGTTTGATGATGAGTTTCAGGCGAACCGGGTCGTCGCTAAGTTCAGTCGGCTGGGTCACCCTACGACCCGCTCTCTCATACACAGCTCTCTCTTTTTCAGAGCCTGTGGGGGAATCAAAATAAGATTAACACCCACATAATGAGACATCTGAAGATCCGATGTGCGTACATTAATCTGACATTATGTATGGGTAGCTAGACAATGTGGCAGAAATGTAAGAAAAGATCCTGATTTCACCAAAAATTAT